GGTGGGGGAACCCTGAATGGTAAAAGGAGTTAATGTTAGTCAGGGAGTTATGGGGGATAATAAGGACTTTTTCCAAACATCTAGGGGGATGGTAGTGCTGAAGAGAAAGTAGGCCACTCGCTAATGAGGGGAATGGTGGTGTTAATTATGTCTTGAAATTGCCTAAGATACTGAGCTCCTGAAATTCATCTTCAGCAGAAAACCATCAGGAAAATAAGTTCGGGCAATTAGGAGGTGGGGGAGAAACTGTGTAAAAATAGCCTGGATAATTAAGAGCAGATAAGGGAACATCTAAGAACCAGCAAGAAGTGGAAAGAGAGCCTCCTGGCTTTGCTGAGCTCCACCAAACTGATCTCACGGGCACAGGGGATGTGAAGGGCAGATCCCTGCTCCCATGGGGGGAACGCCAGGCTGCAGGGGCACATCTGTCCTCGTGCTGTGCTCATGGCAGTGCCTCCTCTACTGCTGTGCTCAAACCTCTGCTGTGTTCCTGGGACGTTGGCTGGGGCAGGGCTCAGCTGGGGTAGCACTGGTGGTGACATCCACAGCCCTGCACAGGAGCCAGCAATGGGCAAAGGCAGCTCTGAGTTCCCATTAGCTGCTCCCTGTGTTTTTGGGTCCAGAGTGTGGCAGGGTGAAGCCCAGCACTAACTCTGGTTTTCCACAACAGCTCTGCAGCTGCTGCTGATGTTTGTGCTGGTTGGTACATAATGTTGGTGAATAATAATACCTGACCTGGTGGAACGAGAGCTCTTTTATCAAACACATTTAAAGAAAAATGACAGTCCCTGTAGCTTGTAATGGAATGGATGATAAATCACAAAACGGGGAAAAACAATTGTGTTACTCCTGCTGGTATGAGTTCCTGCTCAGAAGGTCCATATGTTATATTTTTTTGATGACATAAATTTAATGGAATTCTCTAGAAATGCTGACCAGAAGTCAACATACAACGCAGTCTCAGGAAGTTTCCTAATATCTTTGTTTGTTTTAGGTAATAGATCTGTTGATGTGTATCTCTCCTATTGAGTGCTGTGATAGGATGCTGTAATGAGATTACAATATGGAATGGGAGCTCGACGAAAGTGGCAGTATCAGAAATGTCACCCCCTAACAAATTAGCAGTTGCAGTTTGCCCTCTGGTTACAAAACCTTGTTCCTTTTGTCTTTTACTGTAACTTATAATAACAGAGCCTGTGATGTAAATGTCTGCAGGGTATGTTTCCAGTAGCTAAGCGTGAAACATGTTTCAGTGGGGATACGGGGGGGAAAAACAGACATTTTTTAAAATTCAAGACAAAGGATTTTTGGCCTTGGGCACTCCAGCTGCAGCTGCTGTCAATACAGGGGAGATGGGACTGCGTTTTCTATTTATTTTTTTCTTTAAAGAAAGAAAAGATACCCAACTATCTGATTATAGAATCCACAATATTAAAATATCCGCAGAAAAAGTAGTAATTAATTCCTTTGGAGTCTGACTTGTGATGGGGAAGTTGCAAGTATCAAATGAGTGAGGCGTAGCTTGGATTTACAGCCTCAGAGCCTGGAGATCAAACAAGGACCTAAAATGAGATTTATTTGATTTTAAATTTTATTTCTAGCAGCAACTAGAAATTCATGGGACTCATTGCAAAGCCCAGTGAGGAGACCCCCCCCCACACACACACACACACATTGGCTCCTATTGTTTCCCTTCATTTCAACAAAAGAGCCAGAGCTCATTGGTTAGGTATAAGGAAGTGCTGGGTTTCATTTTTAAGATGCTACGGAGGAAGTTTAAATTATAGCTGCTTGATACATAATAGTGACACTTCACTTATCCAAGCAACTGGGTAGTGCCTGAATAGCGCCTGTGGCTTAATTATTTACCTGTGGCTTAATTGGGTGTAATTTTACTGAAGAGTCTGTTTATTTTCCTATGGAGAGGCTCTAAGATGCTGCTAAATGAGAATGTTACCGGTCCCTGCTGGTGCCCCCTCACATCAGCAGTGCAGAACTCGTTAATACCTGCAGAAATTTGGCCCACGTGATGTTTTCTCTGGTGCCATCAGCCTGTGCTCTCTGGGCACCTGGCGAGCAGCTGGGACCTCCATTGCAGGAGCAGAAATGTTCTGTGGTAGCAGGCGGAGCTCACCATGCTCTCCATTTGTTGTTTATTGGCCTCTCACTTGGTTTTAATCCTCTACAAATTTCGTACTGTTCAGTATTTCTGTCTGAGAGCTCAGAAGGATGACTTGTTTAGGATGAGATATTCCAGGTTAGGCTCATATCAGTGTCTGTGGCTATTGGATAGATACAGAGACAGACCAGGGACTGCACCCTGGACAAGCCATCCTTATTTAGATGACCCTTTCAACATCAATGTGTTGTTCTTGTGTGTCTAAGAATAGTTTTGCTGCGTGAGGATTGAATATCAGAGCTTTGCATGCCCTGGCTAGAAGCTAAGCCAGCACTTGTATCCAAGGTGTGCAAAAGCTCTTCCTAGTGCTCTGCCCATGTGAAGTGCTGGGGAAAGATGTTTATCTCAAATATCCATTTAAATCAAACCAAATGTGCTCGGACACGTTCTGGCTAGATTTTGAATTCAGAAAGCTCTGATTTTCTTTCCCTCCCCCTCCTCAGTCCAGGGCTCTCCTTTTGAATCCCTGTAGGCAATTTCCTTACAGTACTTAGAACTCTAAGCTTCACTGGACTTCCACAACAACAGAAGCTTTGTATCATTGTTTTTTTCCCCAAAAATGCTTAGTTTCTATTAACAACCTTACAAAAGGGCAGTGTATTACTACTCGGTGATCCCAATGATAAATGAAGCACATTATATGTGAAGTAAAGGCTCTATTTATCCTTCCTTTTTTTTTTTTTTTTTAAAGTCCCAGCAGGTTTAATGCAAGTAGCTTGCAGTGACCTTCATAACAAATCAAGAATAAACCTCAGAGCATTCTCACAGAGGTGAATGGTGTTGCAGACTCTTTTTATTGAAATAATAACAATAAGAGTGACGAGTTGTATTATTAGTATTTGATAATGCAAAAAAATTAATGCTCACTGAAAGCCAGGTGCCAGCACTACTTGATTGTTTACCAACATAGTCATAAAGAAACAGAGTTATTAAAGGATCTGAAATCACTCAGTAATTCAGCTGCTGACATTGATGGATGGAACTTGGCTGTTCCTCTTTGCTAAAGCTGCTGACTGGATAAATGTTTTATTCATGAAGCCCCGGGCAGGAAGAGATGCCAAAGGTTTAAGAATATTTTAAGAAACTCTTTGAGATGTCAAGCAAGTTATCAGGTGTTGTTAAGCAAAGGAGCTGAAGTACTACATTTAAACATAACCGAGCTCTCAACATATACAACAACAATACATCAAAAGCCAGGATGCAATTCTTGTCTCGAGCAGCATATGGATGATGAGTTAGGAATACAAGTCCTTTTATTTCCTGCACCTTTGTACCTTCAGTCATCTCACAGCCTGTCTCTTTCAGCATTGTTATCCCAAAGGGAATTTTTACACATCATGTTTTGAATTTAGTCTTGGAAACAAATAAATATTTAGATACCAAACCCTACAAGGTCACACATTCAGATCAAAGACAAAATAGTAATATGATGACAATGTTCATGGAAATGAACAGTTGAGATCAGAACTAGCAAGTTCTGCCTGAGCTCTTGGTGGGAGTTGTTCATAATGCTAATTAGTGCAAGACGTAATTATCAAAATATAGAATAACAAGGAATTTCCTTCTGCCCCCTTCACCCTATTCATGCTTCCTCTTTGTCTCAGGGCAGTGTTCAGCAAGGGCAGGCCTGCAGGTCCTGACCCATTTGAAGAGGCAGTGGTAGTTTGCAGCAGTTGTAACTTAGGTGATTACTTCAATGCTTTGTTCTGTTCTATGAAAATTCTTCAGATCCAGATACTTTGTTGATTTTTTTTACTGTGTTTTTTTTTTTTTTTTTTAATGGAAAGAAATGTTTTGTAAAAAGAATTTTAATGAAGAGCTCTATAGCCCCACAAGCTCCTCCATGGACAAGTGTTTGAATATTTCATAATCTATATTAATAACTTCTTTTAAGTTTCTACAGTCTCATAAGAGCAGAACAGATGAGCTCTTGATGGAACTGAACTGTCAATCCGAACATAGTGACATTAGAAAATAGCTCTGTTTCCAAGAGTAGCAGCATGAAATGTCCCTTCTTGCCAAGGGAGCAGCAAAGTACAGTTTAAATGTCCCCTATTATGACATCTCAAGAGTATAAAAATTGGGAAAGGTATTAAAAATGAGTAATTAAAAATGAAGAGTGATAGGTAATGGTGAATAAAAAGTAGGAAAGTACTGCTCTCCCGCTGCCCTTTTGGTTTGCAGAGACTCGGCTAAAGACCAAAAGCATATTTCTCACTGGCCCCAGTTAAAATTCAAATCCTATGGACTGACAGTGCAAAACACTGTCAAAAAAGCTGTCAAGTTGTATCAAATGAATTACTGTATTATCTCTCTTTATCTGTCAAAGGCATTGATTATTTTCAGTGGAGGGAGCCCTCTGACAGTTGCTGAAACTGAAGAATCCTGTGTTGAAACAATTTGGTTGACACATGTCACTATTTCCTAAACAGACAAGTCAAATATGTTATTTTTGTCTCTGTCTGTGGAGGAAGCATGTTTATGTAGTATTTTTACAGAAGATAAATAATACAGAGAGAAAGGAACATCCATTAGCACTTCACTTTCTCTGCTATTTTTATCGATGTTTTTATGTATCATCTTTATAAAAATGTTCCTCTTTGCATAAGAACTTGTGTGCCTTTGGTGGCTGTGATATGTGTTAGAGATTTTCTTGGGTGCCCCCAAGTAATTTAGATAGTCAGCAAACCATATGGGTGCCATTCTTGATTGCAGCTGGTGGTTTACTGTTGACTGCTTTAAACTTCTATTTCCTACCACTCCCGTACCTGTAGCAGTGATATAGGTGCCATATTCCAGAGAACACCTCTTTATATTGCAGATGGACAAACCGACAGGGACGAAGTAGGGACTATATCATGGATCTGCTGCCAGCTTTTGGAATGAAGTTTGTGCCAAACTCTTCGTTGTTGTGGTTTTCACATGATGGATGTATCAGAGCTGGCTTTGCTGGACTTCTGCTGTCCCTTTCAGGACTGCAGAAAGGGAAGCCCAGCTCTCCTCCAGCTGAACTCTGTCGTGTCTGCTACAGCTGAAACTGTACTAAAAGAAGGACATGTCCAACTCCCTCTGCTGGGAGGAGGCTGATGAGTGACAGTGTCATGGTGAGTTACTGACCGTTAAAAGGTGAGAACTGGCTCAAGCAGCATCAGTCAGAGAAAGCTAATACCCTTGTACAAAGTCTTTATTATTCATTAGCACATATTGTGCTTCCTCATAAATATAATTCAGGCTACACTTGTATTGCATTAAGATAACATTAAATCTTTCTATAATTTGAAGGAAATACTGCTCCCAGCTGTTGTTGCCTAAATGAGCTAAACAAAATCTGAATAAGTGCAATGGGAACAACTGTGAAACTCCAACTACATTTGGCTCTGATGTCTTTTGGTGTCGTTTGTCACAGAAATGGTTGCTGGCAGACCTCTTTGCTTGTGAATGCTGTGGCTCTGGACAGATGGATATCACATCTTGACTGCTTCTGAGATGTCCCAAAGTCTTCAGGTACTACAGCACTTCTGCTGATTCTGAGGGAGTTGGGTGACTCAAAGAGTGATGAATTGGGCTGATGGTGGAGGTTGTTATAAGCAACCTGATGATCCTTTCCTGTACCCTGGAACATGTATGATTGTTATTGGGGTGCTGCAGTTTCATGCAGCCCACATTGAATATTACTGGAAACAAGGTGCAGTGTGTCTGGCACTCAGTTTCTCAGACATCCAGCTGCCTCATTTGGTCTCATTATGACAGAAGTAGGGCCCTAAACTCCAGCCATGACCTGGCCTGTGAAGCACATCCCTGTTTACACAGAATTAACCTGGATGAAGTCCAGCATTTAAGCACGTTCTCTATTGCTGGCTTCTCCGGAGGCTGTATGCTTTTCAAAGAGATATCGCTGTGGTTTGTATTTATGCACTGTTATAGATAGGGTCCTTGCCCATGTGGCTGCTCAAGAGCTGCCAAGATGACTTAATAATAATACTAAAAATAAACATGTGTAAATACGGATAACAACAGGCTCAGAGTTCTGACAGCTCCAAAAGGCTTTGATCTTGCATTGGTAGGGATCAGGATGCACCGCCTCTCCAGATGACAGGCTTGGATGGAGAGAAAAAAAAAAAGCAATAAACACAGCCTGTGAAATGTGCCTCCATTGTCCTCCCCAGAAACCCTCCCCCATTATGTCTGATGATTTACTAAGAGAGTGTGGCTAAGTACCAGCAACAAGCAACTGAAAAATTAACCCCAGCAAGCTGACAATGCCACACCTGACCCCAGAAGTGTGTAGCGTTGGTCAGCCAAGTGGTAATGGCTTGGTGTAAAGCAGAGGAGAAATGTGCCATTAAATGAGAAGCAGAAAGCGGGCTGCTGAGCGGTGACGGCTGTTAAAAGATACAAACCAAAGCGTGGCCCTGACAGCGCATTATATTCCAAAGATAAAGAGAGGCAGAGGCAAAAGCAAAACAAATGGGGCTTCTCTGTACAGATGGCCAAAAGGGAATTGCAACATAAACCCCACCAGCCGGAAATTACGGCTACGGACAGCCTGCCTGCTGGGGAAAGAAACCCAGCTCTCAGGGCTGGTGCTGGCCAAAAACCTCCAGGCCAAGGGGAAAATCCTGCACGTGGTTTGGAGGAAGGTCTGTCCAGCTGTGCTAATGGCTGCTGGTGCTGTCTGATGGCAGTGAAGGAGTGTGCTTAGGGGGGAGTGGCAATCTGTGATTTCCTTTTTTTGTCTAACTGCAGATTTGGTTTCTGAGTAAGTCGGATTTATGCTGCTCTCAGACGATTTTGCTAATAAGGAGATGAGTCAGAGAGCCCAGAGCAGATGCGAATCTTCAGCTGAGGTAGAAACCATTGTTTGTTTTTTTTTCCTAAAAGGAAAGTAGCTATTTTTCGTTTCCAGAAAGCTGACCTCTGGAAGATGCAATGATTTTTTCCTTTCTAGCAGAAACATGGCTTTTTCAAATAACACTTAGCTATGCTTCTGGACTCTTATATAATATACAGAAGTTCTCAATGAAAATAAATAACCTGTGATGGGTTGGTGTGTCATATGCTGAGAGAAATAAATAAGTAAATCTATATAAAATCAGCTCCTGTAATTAATAACATCTCAGAAGACAATTCCAAAGGCTGCAGTACCAAGTGGTGATGTGAGATAAGCTCTTCAGGTATCTGAGAGTAAAATGTCTGTTCCTGTCTGTGACTGCAGGAGGCTGCTGCTGAGAATTTGAGAATAATTCTCTGGTAGGAACATATCTTATGTAGATCCTTCGAAAAAAGACTTCTATCTAGGTGAAACTGCTGAAGATTCCCTTCATCTTTCTTCTTCCTCTTGTGGATGTTCAGAAACTTGATTCTCGATGAAGTAATTCAACACATTTTTTGAGGGAACAGCATCCACTCTATAGGAAGTCTGTGAAGGATGGCAGTGAGCATGAATATATCATTATAAAAAGACATTCTGCATTCAGAAAACCATATGTGGTCTGAATTTCTCTGAGAGGGGTATTTCTCTTCTTAGACTATAGAAGTGTGTGCTGCATAGGTCGACAAAGCTTTTACTGGCGCAGTTTTGTTTAGAATGCCTTTGAAGATTGTCATGTTCACCTTTCTTGAAAATTATGTTACAAGCAGAGAAAGTGGGTTTATTTGGCTCGGTGCTGGGCATGTCAGCACACTCTGGGAAGCGACAGAGGCTCCATCCTCCATCCCTCTCTGTATGCTTATAGTGTAGATGAAGAAAGATGAGGTTTGAGATTTAAAAAAAAAAAAAAAGCTCTAAAAATAAGTTAGACTCCTATTTATGCTTGAAAACATGCATTCTTTAAAAATCATCTCTCTAAAGATGCTGAGTAATCACATATATGATCATTTGTTTATCAGGCACCCATGTGCCTGTGCCCACAAATGGGTGAAATTTGATGCTCCAAAATTTAATCAAATCTAAACATGGTTAAGAGTTTCTTTCACATTTACTGAAGCTATATTATTCATCAAAATGCTGATAGAAAAAATTGATGCAAGTGAAGTTACTATTAATTGGGTGGTACAATTGGTCTTCTAATGGGGTAAGTTTCAAATCAGAAAAAGATCTTGAGAGCTCAATGGAAAACATCTGCTCGTGTCTGAGCAGTGATCAGGAAAGCATAAATATTAAATGGCATGACATTAATTTGCTGAATAGAGGACAACACTGAAAATATGACAGTGTTGTTCTAGATGATGGTGATGTGGCCTCACCTTGAGAGGCATGTTTGGTTTGGTTACCCTAATTAAAAAATGATAGAGCAGGAAATAGAAGAGGTTCAGTGAAGGGCAACAAACCTAATCAGAAGCATGGAAAATACTTCAGTGGGAAGATTTGCATGCAGGCAGAGACTGCAAAGGTTAGGTCTGTTTATTTTAGGGAATACAATGCATGAGTTGTGCCACTGAGAGACATGCTATGATGGAGATAAATAAAATGGCGGTGCCATGACTCTTTCCTCTCTTGGAAAAGAAAGAGACATCAAATTAAAATCAAAGTAAACACATTGAACAGCTTTAATAGGAACCACTTTTAACCTTAGTTTTAATTGGCCTGTGGGACTCATTGCAACAAGGTAGAATATTGAGACCGACAGATTGGCATCGTTTATATGATTAGAAGTATCATCTCCAGTTAGATGGGCTGGAGTTTCATCTTTTGTACTTCTGTGCATACGCTCAGCGCAAGTCCTCCCTTACGCATACTACTGCATAATACTGCATTATGGGATTTTATAGGGCCTTCTGAAGCATCTGGCAGAGGTTGGTCTCTAGGCCATTGCTTAACTCTGGCATCCTGTGCTAGTGACAAGGACTGAGCTATAGTTCCTGGATGAAAAACGTACTTGCAGAAGTTTGACTTGTTGGCTTTTTCCCCTCTGCACCTTTACTGGCTTTCCTCTGAGTGAACTGAATACAGTGGAAGAGAAGAGGCTTTTGCTTCTATGGAAGGTGTCCATTTGCCCATTCTGGACTGGTTTGTTTTACTTCCTTTGCCCTTTTAATAGCTTGCATTCCTTACAGTCTTTAATTATTGCACATTTCTCACTCCAAACCAGCTGCCATCCATAAACTGGTCTAGCAATTATTTCTCTGGCTTCAGAAAATGGCTATCATGAATTCAACGGCACTAGGAACAGGTGGACTGCAGAATGCCTGTTTGATTTTTGGTAAACAGCATTACAAAATTGGCACTTTGACTCAGTTCCTCTAACAGACTAGTTGTACAGCTTCTGTTAATAAGATTCTGCATATTTTCCGTTGTCACAGCATACGTTATTTGTCATCGCAAGACATTCATTGCTTTTTTTTTTTTCTTCTTTCAGAAACGTGTGTAAAGTTAAAAATGTGTATGAAATACCCATGGGATGGAAATCTTTCCAAAATGCACAGTGGTGCTTGGTTGGAGAGAATCCTTTGGGAATAAGGGAGGGTGCAGATGAGCAGGCAGAGTCAGAGCAGGCTGAGCCCAGCATATGGAGCCAGCACAGATGCTCTGCTCTGTGCAGTTCCTGTTCTGTGCCCAAAAATTGTGCTCTGAGACACTTTGCACTTGTCGGACAGTTTAGCCTAATAGAGAGCTGGTAACTTGGCACGTCAGAATCCTGTGGTCTGTTCTTGGCTCTGTGCAGCCCTCCTGGGTGAGCTTATAGAAGATGCAACAACAGCCTCAGTCCTCTGCAAAATGGGGTTTCTGATCTTCTGGTCCTACTCACAGGCTGTGCAAGCTATTGAGGAAAATCACAGAATCATTTGAGTTGGAAGCAGCCCTTAAAGACCATTTAGTCCAATTACCCTGCACTGAACAGGGGCACCTACAACTCCATAAGATGCCTAGAGCCCATCCAGCCTGACCTTGGATATCTCCATGGATGGGGTCTCCACCACTTCTCTGGGCAGCCTGTGCCTCATTGCTCTTACTGTAAAATACTTCTTCCTTATATTCAGTCTAAATTTTCCATTTTAGTTTGAAACCATTTCCCCTTGTCCTGTCACTGTAGACCCTTCTGAAAAGTCTGTCCCTTTCCTTCTTATAGCCGATCTTCTGCTACCACCTGCCCAAGGACACAGAAGATGTAGGATGCCTCAGTTACCTTGCTGCCCTCTCCATATCACCTGGCAGAGCAAGGAGTAGGCAGAAGGGCAGCCTTCATGTCTGTAAGCAGCTCCTTGAGAGCATTGTGCAGAACTTATTCTTCATTTCAGGTTCAAAGGAGCAGTAAATAGGCTCCTTTCATACAGCACCTCAGGAACAGCTGGTTAGTGGTGACAGGGCAGATGATGCTATGGCACGTGTGCAGGGAGCCTGTTCCTTGAGGAGTAAGGAAGGGAAAGACGCAAACTATTCTTTTCCAGGAAGCTAGAGATTTGCTTCTTTCATGCTAGCAGCTCTTCCTAGGACAGCAAGCTGATGGTTCTTCATCTTAAGGGCAAGCTGGGTGACAAAGGCAGGCTGATAGCAGCTTTTTGCAATGCCTGATAGATATTACATGGAAGAAAGCACTGTTCCTGCCCACTGGGACACCTGAGAAGCCTGTTCTCTGCTCCACGTGCTAGCAGTGCAGCTGTTAAAACTCTGGAACATTTTTGGACAAAGAGCGCTATGTTCCTATGAGACTTTAAAAATGAATTAATAGAACATTGATTTAACTTACTGGCTTTTTCCAGTGCCTTTGTTTCCAGGCAGTAAAAGTCTGCT